TGTGTTAGTGTGTTTGTGTGTGTGTTAGTGTGTGTGTTAGTGTGTGTGTGTGTTAGTGTGTGTGTGTTAGTGTGTGTGTGTTAGTGTGTGTGTTAGTGTGTGTGTGTGTGTTAGTGTGTGTGTTACTGTGTGTTAGTGTGTGTTAGTGTGTGTGTGTTAGTGTGTGTTAGTGTGTTTGTTAGTGTGTGTGTTAGTGTGTGTTAGTGTGTGTGTGTGTTAGTGTGTGTGTGTGTTAGTGTGTGTGTGTTAGTGTGTGTGTGTGTAGTGTGTTTGTGTGTGTGTTAGTGTGTGTGTTAGTGTGTGTGTGTTAGTGTGTGTGTGTGTGTTAGTGTGTGTGTTAGTGTGTGTTAGTGTGTGTGTTAGTGTGTGTGTGTTAGTGTGTGTGTGTGTTAGTGTGTGTGTTAGTGTGTGTGTTAGTGTGTGTGTTAGTGTGTGTGTGTTAGTGTGTGTGTGTTAGTGTGTGTGTGTTAGTGTGTGTGTGTGTTAGTGTGTGTTAGTGTGTGTGTTAGTGTGTGTGTTAGTGTGTGTGTTAGTGTGTGTTAGTGTGTGTGTTAGTGTGTGTGTTAGTGTGTGTGTGTTAGTGTGTGTGTTAGTGTGTGTGTTAGTGTGTGTGTTAGTGTGTGTTAGTGTGTGTGTGTTAGTGTGTGTTAGTGTGTGTTAGTGTGTGTTAGTGTGTGTGTGTGTTAGTGTGTGTGTGTGTGTGTTAGTGTGTGTTAGTGTGTGTGTGTTAGTGTGTGTGTGTGTTAGTGTGTGTTAGTGTGTGTGTGTGTTAGTGTGTGTTAGTGTGTGTGTGTTAGTGTGTGTGTGTTAGTGTGTGTTAGTGTGTGTGTTAGTGTGTGTGTGTTAGTGTGTGTGTGTGTTAGTGTGTTAGTGTGTGTGTGTTAGTGTGTGTGTGTTAGTGTGTGTTAGTGTGTGTGTGTGTTAGTGTGTGTGTGTTAGTGTGTGTGTTAGTGTGTGTTAGTGTGTGTGTGTGTTAGTGTGTGTTAGTGTGTGTGTGTTAGTGTGTGTGTGTTAGTGTGTGTTAGTGTGTGTGTGTTAGTGTGTGTGTGTGTTAGTGTGTTAGTGTGTGTGTGTTAGTGTGTGTGTGTTAGTGTGTGTTAGTGTGTGTGTGTGTTAGTGTGTGTGTGTTAGTGTGTGTGTTAGTGTGTGTTAGTGTGTGTGTGTTAGTGTGTGTGTGTTAGTGTGTGTTAGTGTGTGTGTGTGTTAGTGTGTGTGTTAGTGTGTGTTAGTGTGTGTGTGTCAGTGTTAGTGTGTGTGTGTCAGTGTTAGTGTGTGTGTTAGTGTGTGTGTTAGTGTGTGTTAGTGTGTGTTAGTGTGTGTGTGTTAGTGTGTTTGTTAGTGTGTGTGTTAGTGTGTGTGTTAGTGTGTGTGTTAGTGTGTGTGTGTTAGTGTGTTAATTCGTGGTTTCGTGGTAATTAATTGATGATGGGGCAGTTGTGGAGAGAGTGGAGAGTTTCCCATACCTGGGCAGTGTGCTTATGACTGGCTCCAGTTTAACAGCAGAGGTCTCACTCCGAATCAGTCGAGCGGCAATATCTTTTCATCGGTTGCGTAACGCTGTGTGGAAGCTACCTGGTCTGTCGCTCCGCACTAAGCTTCAGGTCTTCTCGGCCACGGTCATTCCCTCCCTTCTCTACGCTTGCGAAACGTGGACCCCCCTAATGGAACATCTTCGCCGGTTAGAAACATTTAGGCTGGCCTGCCTACGATCCATCCTGGGTTTAACCAGACTGGATTGTGTGAGGAGCTCACAAATCCTTGAAAGATCTGGGCAGGGTCCCATCGGTGAGCTCCTCCGGCAGGCAAGACTGCGATGGCTGGGTCATGTAGCCCGCATGCCCAGCCACCGCATTCCGAAACAGCTTTTGTTTGGCCGGATTGAGGGGGCTAAGCGGGCGCGGCACGGGCTAGAGAAGAGATGGAGTGATGTGGTACAGGAGGACGTGGAGCTGAGTGGACTTGCCGATGACTGGTACCAGCGGTGTCAAGATCGGCCTCTGTGGAGGAGGCTCGTGAAGGATGCTACTGGGCAGTTGGAGGCAGTCGCCCTCCAACAACAACGGAGGGCGGAGGAGCGACGCTCACAACAGCGAGCGGAGCGCCGGGTGGCTAAAGCACAGCAGGTTGGCACAGTAGGGGGCACAGGTGGTGCATCAGCCAGTCATCTCAGTCAGTCGACCCGTGGCACCTGGGTCTGCCCCGTGACCTCCTGCCAGCGGGCGTTCGACACTTCACGTGGCCTCAGGGTGCACATAGCCTGGCACAAGCGTCGTGGTGACGTCACCGCCACTTAGTGGCGAATGGCGGTTGTTGTTGTTGTTGTTAGTGTGTTAGTGTGTGTGTGTTAGTGTGTGTGTGTTAGTGTGTGTGTTAGTGTGTGTGTGTGTTAGTGTGTGTGTGTTAGTGTGTGTTAGTGTGTGTGTGTTAGTGTGTGTGTTTTAGTGTGTGTTAGTGTGTGTGTGTTAGTGTGTGTGTGTTAGTGTGTGTGTGTTAGTGTGTGTGTGTGTTAGTGTGTGTTAGTGTGTGTGTGTTAGTGTGTGTTAGTGTGTGTGTGTGTTTAGTGTGTGTGTGTGTTAGTGTGTGTGTGTTAGTGTGTGTGTGTTAGTGTGTGTGTGTTAGTGTGTGTGTGTTAGTGTGTGTTAGTGTGTGTGTGTGTGTTAGTGTGTGTGTGTGTGTTAGTGTGTGTGTGTTAGTGTGTGTTAGTGTGTGTGTGTTAGTGTGTGTTAGTGTGTGTGTTAGTGTGTGTGTGTTAGTGTTAGTGTGTGTTAGTGTGTGTGTTAGTGTGTGTGTTAGTGTGTGTGTGTGTTAGTGTGTGTGTTAGTGTGTGTGTGTTAGTGTGTGTTAGTGTGTTTGTTAGTGTGTGTGTTAGTGTGTGTTAGTGTGTGTGTTAGTGTGTGTTAGTGTGTGTGTGTGTTAGTGTGTGTGTGTGTTAGTGTGTGTGTGTGTTAGTGTGTTTGTGTGTGTGTTAGTGTGTGTGTTAGTGTGTGTTAGTGTGTGTGTTAGTGTGTGTGTTAGTGTGTGTGTGTTAGTGTGTGTGTTAGTGTGTGTGTGTTAATGTGTGTGTTAGTGTGTGTTAGTGTGTGTGTTAGTGTGTGTATGTTAGTGTGTGTGTGTTAGTGTGTGTGTGTGTTAGTATGTGTGTTAGTGTGTGTGTTAGTGTGTGTGTTAGTGTGTGTGTTAGTGTGTGTGTTAGTGTGTGTGTGTTAGTGTGTGTGTGTTAGTGTGTGTGTTAGTGTGTGTGTTAGTGTGTGTGTGTGTTAGTGTGTGTTAGTGTGTGTTAGTGTGTGTTAGTGTGTGTTACTGTGTGTAAGTGTGTGTTAGTGTGTGTGTGTGTTAGTGTGTGTTACTGTGTGTTACTGTGTGGGGAGCGATAGTGTAGCGGTTAGCGCACTGCGCTATGAAACCCGGCGACACGGGTTCAATTCCCGCTCACGGCCAACACCAGTGACGATTATCTGAACCGGTCCCGGGCCTCCCCTAGGTCGACTCAGCCTCAAATGAGTACTTGGTGCGGTGTGTAAACATCGCCACTGGGGAGACAAAGGCGGTCGGGCGTGGTGCTGGCCACCCACCCCCTCGTGTACCGTTCCGGCCTTCATAGGTGCTCGCCAACAGCACTTGCCCCAACAGTCTGTTAAAGGCTACACGGGGATCTTGGTCTTGAAGTGTGAGTCCGGCAAAATAACCCCCTACCTCCTCGTGGTGCCGGACGGGCAACGCTGTCGTGGGCAGTGCTGTGGGGGGAGGGCCAATTCCGATTGGCTCCTCCCCTCATGGCATTTGTAGCCACAACTGCGGGCAAATGCGGGCTTTGGACGGGTTCGAGGGGCTGGTAACCCCTCCACCTTCAATTAATTTCCGCTAAACCACGACGACAAAATTTATTAAATAAGCTTGTGCCGGAGGCCCCAGGGAGACAGGCGTCTATGACGTCTCCTGGCCAAACCCCAATTTGACGGAGCCAGAAGACTCAATCCTTACCCTCGGGGCTCCTCCAGAAACAACAAAAAACCACTACGTGTGGCCACGTGGAATGTTCGAACGCTCACTGCGGAGGAGAGGCTGCCACTCCTTTGTCGGGAGCTGGACCAGTAACGCCTTGATGTCTGTGGTATTCAGGAGGTCCGGTGGACCGGCTCTGGCTCCTGTCACCATGAGGGGTGGACATTCCTCTACTCGGGGCAGGAAACTGCCAAACAACAGGGAGTGGCTCTTATTCTAAACAAAAGAATGAAGGGGGCGTGGGAGCGTGGCGGTGAGGTGTGGGAAGCTGTAAGCCCCAGGCTATTTTGGGCTCGCCTTCCCATCAACCAGAGGCGAGGAGTGGTGGTCGTGGTTATTTATGCCCGCACTGAAGACGAACATCGGTGGAGGAATGTAGGCAAAGTCGATGAGTCAGATGCCTTGTTCGGCCAGATCTAGGGGGCTAAACGGGCGCGGCACGGGCTAGAGAAGAGATGGAGTGATGTGGTACAGGAGGACGTGGAGCTGAGTGGACTTGCCGATGACTGGTGCCAGCAGTGTCAAGATCGGCCTCTGTGGAGGATGCTTGCGAAGGGCGCTACTGGGCAGTTGGAGGCAGTCGCCCTCCAACAACAACGGAGGGCAGAGGAGCGACACTCAAAACAATGAGCAGAGCGCCGGGTGGCTAAAGCACAGCAGGTTGGCACAGTAGGGGGCACAGGTGGTGCATCAGCCAGTCATCTTAGTCAGTCGACCCGTGGCACCTGGGTCTGCCCCGTGACCTCCTGCCAGCGGACGTTAGACACTTCACGTGGCCTCAATGTGCACATAGCCTGGCACAAGCGCCGTGGTGACGTCACTGCCACTAAGTGGCAAATGGCGGTTGTTGTTGTTGTAGTGTGAGTGTGTTCCTGTGAGTGTGTGTTCGTGTGAGTGTGCGGGTGTGTGCTAGTGCGTGTGTGCGTGTGCGCTTGCAGTCACACACGCACACACTCTGTGGAGTGTGCGCGTGTGCGCTTGCAGTAGGAGGGCGCTACCGTTGGCTCTTGTACACGAACACCACGGCCAGCACCACGATGCTCAGCGCGACGAGCCCGCTGGCGAGGAACCAGGCGAGACGCTGGGGCTCCTGGCTGCCCAGTGCCCCGCTGGGGTCCGGGTACTCGGTGACCCGAGTCCGATGACCGGTCGCGTTGCCGTCGCCGTGCGCGTCCTGTCGCGACGAACGGGGCAACGGGCACAGATCTGGGTTCACCAAAAGCCTCTGGCGGCTCGCAAGGAACGTTGGCACTTCATGATATTCCGCCAACCCTGTTCTTATCGCCGTGCATTTAACAGCACCATGTACTGTTCACGTTCAAAGTAAAGGTCGCACTCGTAACACAACAAGTGCTTGCTACAAATGAACCACATTACCTTGGTGATCTCGTCAAGGAACAGAGACCACTACGCGAACTCCGCTCATCCTCGTAGCGGCTTTTGGCTGGCCATCCAATGAAGCTGGTCACTGCGTCGCCCATCTACAGCCGTCTGAAATGATCTTCCTTCCGATATTATAAAGCCAATGGTGCTGCGTTACTTTTAAATGGAGATTGCAAACTCATTTCTTTAAAAATGTTATTTTTTAATGTTTAGTTTGTTCTCCTTCCCCCTCACCTTCGATTAGCACAGTTGGCTACGACCGGTGTGAAAGAAGTTCAACATATATACATACCATACACTCGCCCGCTCGCTCACTCACCCAAGCACTCATTCATTCACCCACACACCCACTCACTCACACCCATCCACTCGCTCACTCACCCACTCACTCAGCACACTGCAGGTCACAACCACTTCTCTCTCCGCTTCTTCCATCGCACTGCTCCACTATTGGAATTCCCTCCCATCGTCTCCTCCGAAGCTCTCATAAATCAACCGTGCTCAATTAAAGCACCACTATTAAATCCGATCCGTTAATCCTCTGATGGTGCGGTGTTGTTGCTGCCCTAATGGGCCTTTTGTGCTTGTGCTTAGTTACCTTTACCTTCACATAGTACCCGTACAGCCGTGTACACACCATTGATCTTAAGCTTTCACGGTTTCAGTTATACATGATCATTATTATTGTAGATTTTCGGTACAGCCTGGACAGCATCTCTGGCACGCGTACATTAATTCATTTATTTTTGCATCCGTTTATTATACATGAGAGCGATGCAGCTGGGATTCACTAATCACAGCATGTGATGTCATCCTCCCCAACCCATTTTAGATTGAGATTCAAGTAGAACGAGCCACAAGGTTGTCTGGGAAGGAGGGGGGGGGGGGGCACAGCCAGTGCTGGGCTTGTCCACGTTACCATGTCCGAGGATGGGAGCGGGAACGACTCAAAAAGTAACAGAACTGAGTTCAACGTAAAAACTGCTGGACCAACATCTCCATGACTTTCCATCTCGAACGCCAATCGTCAGGCGGTGTTTGATGGTGGGGTTCTCGTTCGTATGGTACGTTGAACTTCTTTCGCGCCGTACCTAGCCAAGCGAGCTAATCGGAGGTGCGCTACCCATTAACTCATCTCCCTTTTTGTACGACGGCCGTAGAGACCGCCCGCAGCGCAATCGTGTCACGGCAACGCACCGCGCAGAGCGGGGCCGGGCTCGGGATGTAGCGGGCCTCAGGGCTCCACTCGCTCCAGAGCCCCCTCACGCCGTGCACCGTGCACTGCCCGGGCCGGGCCCTCACGCGGAACGTCACCGCGTGGCATCCCTGGGTCTCGGGCTGCGGCCACGAGGCCCTTGGCTCCGACACCTCCTGGTGCTGTGGGGAATAAAGACAGAGACCCCCACCCACCCACCCACCCCCCACAGCCCAGCCAGCCATTAAAGAGACCATTGGGGGCAAGTGCAATTTGGCATCATTCATCAGAAATTATACGTTACTTGTCACAAAATTGAGATGTCCACCCTGACACACGTTCAGTCAACAGAGCATTACTCTAGTCAGGGAAGAGACTCGAGATGGTGACAATACAAAAAATTGCCGTTAGCATTGCTTCAGCAAGCCAATGTAATGCCCTCTAATTGAAAATCACGCATCACTCTTGATTAGTAATTGATATTTTTTTGGGCCAGATCGCGCAAGCAAAACGTGCGCCTCACACCCCCCCCCGCCCCGCCCCACCGCCGTTGGGGCAAGCGCTGTTAAGCGAACAGCGAGTGTGAAGAAGAAGAAGAAGGAGAAGAAGAAGAAGAGGAAGAAGAAGGAGAAGAAGAAGGCCGTGACGACGGCACACTCAAGGGGGTGTGGCCCACAACACCACACCCGGCTGCGTCTGCCTCCGCAGTGCCAACATCCTCTACACACCGCACCCAGGTAATCGTTTTAAGTCTGAGTCAACCTAGGGGAAGGGGACTCGCGCACACGTGCACACACGGTAGCCTCAGTGTAGCTTTACTATGCACTATGACTAAACTATTGCCAACTAAGGCCCACTCAGCCATGTAGCTCTTTTTCAGAAGCAACCTGGCCACAAACGATAGCTCGACGAAGTGGCTTATCACGCGGAAATTTATAGTAGCCACATACTCCGAACGCTTGATGTTGACTGCTAAATGTGGAGGGGCAAAACCGGAGGACCCGGAGAGAAATCCACGGCACCATGGTGAGAGGGAGACAAGCAAACTCCAAATGGACAGACGTCAGGGTCGGGATCGAACCCACGACCTCCTGCACACCAGGCGAGGGAGTTAACATCTCCGAGCGACCGTGGCGAGTGGGAAGTGTCGACAGCAGGGGTTGTAAATATCGGAATTTGTGTCGAGGCCCTTCCGCCAGCAGCGGCTTGAGCGAGCAATTGCAGGGCTGCGCCTTTGCCTTCCTGCCAATCGATGCCATCGACTCCTAAAATTCCACTGGAATCGATTAATGATTCCTGACTTTAGGAATTGTAATTAAAAAAAAAACAAATTCGAGTCTGACGATGATTGCATGTTCACTGGTCGAGCACGTGGTCGAGCACGTGGTCGAGCACGTGGTCGAGCACGTGGTCGAGCACTGGGTCGAGCACGTGGTCGAGCACGTGGTCGAGCACGTGGTCGAGCACGTGGTCGAGCACGTGGTCGAGCATAGGTTCTGAATCGTGATCATTATTCTAATTCCTGTTCCATAACTCCTTATATGGGCAAACAGACGCCTCGGGTGAAACTCGTTTGGCCACTACGCACCTTCGTTATATTTATCCTCGCCGAGCGCTCCACATCTCGCAGACCGATTATTTCGCTTCACAACGTCGTGACGATGAGATCACCCGAGCGGCTTCAAACACTTTGGGCGCCCGGCAGCCACGCGTGGGCGACTTGCGCCGCAGAGATCGACGCAAGAATGGCAAAGGGCGACGGCGAAGATCAAAGAGCTCCGTAGGCACCACGCGACAACGCTCGCACTCGCGATCGGCCACGTCGCCGCCCCGGTGGTTGGGCGGCAGGGTGGTGGCGCTGCGGTGAGGCCCGTGCCTCGCGGCGAGAAGGGCCAGGGTTGGATTCCCGGCCACTGGGTCCCCTTTCTATCTCCTCCCAATGTTCTGCACGTGCCCCCCCCCCTCCCCTGTAGCTAAACCCAAAAGCGTACAGTGTAACTGTAGAGTGTAAACTGGTGGTGTTGGCCAAAACATCCCAACGCTTGACGAAAAAAACAACGCCAGATTTTTGCGAAAACTTGGCAGGACCCTCCTGGAAAAGAATCTTGAGATTCGGCGAGGCTTTTCTGGGTAAACTAGTGTCAAATAAAACTGATAAATAACAATGTACCACGATTGAACACGAAGCGTCGTGCTGTGCAGTTTTGCTGCCCTGTGGTACCCACCACCACCGCTACCACCACCACCTCTACCACTGCTACCACCACCACCGCCACCTCTACCACCATCACCACCGCTACCACCACCACTGCTACCACCACCACCGCCACCGCCACCTCTACCACCACCACCACTGCTACCACCACCACTGCTACCACCACCACCACCGCCACCTCTACCACCATCACCACCGCCACCACCACTGCTACCACCACCACCTCTACCACCATCACCACCGCTACCACCACCACTGCTACCACCACCACCGCCACCTCTACCACCATCACCACCGCTACCACCACCACTGCTACCACCACCACCGCCACCTCTACCACCATCACCACCGCTACCGCCACCGCCGCCGCCACCACTACCACCACCGCTACCGCCACCACCACTGCCACTGCTACTACCACCACCACCACCGCTACCACCACCACCGCTACCACCACCACCACCGCCACCTCTACCACCATCACCACCGCCACTACCACCACCACCGCTACTACCACCACCACCGCTACCACCGCCACCACCACCACTGCCACCACCACCACCACTGCAACCACCACCACCACTGCAACCACCACCACCACTCCTACCACCACCACCACCGCTACCACCACCACCACCACCGCTACCACCACCACCACCGCTACCACCACCACCGCTGACACCACCACCGACGATCCTCACATCCCCGTAGTGCCCACCGCCACCCCCACTGGCGGTACTCACATCCTGCGGTCCGCTGTGGATCCGCATGTCCGTCTGGTAGCACGTGGACTGGTGGCGCTGGTACCCCGGCAGAGGATCCCACTTCACCAGCAGGCTGCTCCCGTTGAGGTGCGCGTGCAACTCAGATGGAGGGTCTGGCTTCACTGCAGGAGAGAAAACGGCAGACACGCACGCACAACAACAACAACAACAACAACCGCCATTCGCCACTAAGTGGCGGTGACGTCACCACGACGCTTGTGCCAGGCTATGTGCACCCTGAGGCCACGTGAAGTGTCGAACGCCCGCTGGCAGGAGGTCACGGGGCAGACCCAGCAGGTGCCACGGGTCGACTGACTGAGATGACCGAGATGACTGGCTGATGCACCACCTGTGCCCCCTACTGTGCCAACCTGCTGTGCTTTAGCCACCCGGCGCTCCGCTCGCTGTTGTGAGCGTCGCTCCTCCGCCCTCCGTTGTTGTTGGAGGGCGACTGCCTCCAACTGCCCAGTAGCATCCTTCACGAGCCTCCTCCACAGAGGTCGATCTTGACACCGCTGGTACCAGTCATCGGCAAGTCCACTCAGCTCCACGTCCTCCTGTACCACATCACTCCATCTCTTCTCTAGCCCGTGCCGCACCCATTTAGCCCCCTCGATCCGGCCAAATAAAAGCTATTTCGGCATGCGGTGGCTGGGCATGTGGGCTACATGACCCAGCCAACGCAGCCTTGCCTGCCGGAGAAGCTCACCGATGATACCTTGCCCAGATCTTTCAAGGATTTGTGAGCTCCTCACACAATCCATCCTGGTTAAACACAGGATGGATCGTAGGCAGGCTAGCCTAAATGTTTATAACTGGCGAAGATGTTCCATTAGGGGGGTCCACGTTTCGCAAGCGAAGAGAAGGGAGGGAATGACCATGGCCGAGAAGACCTGAAGCTTAGTGCGGAGCGACAGACCAGGTAGCTTCCACACAGCGTTACGCGACCAATTAAAATATATTGCCGCTCGACTGATTCGGAGTGAGACCTCTGCTGTTAAACTGGAGCCGGTCATAATCACACTGCCCAGGTATGGGAAATTCTCCACTCTCTCCACAACTGCCCCATCACCGATTTGGAGTTGTGGGGGTGGAGTGTCCAATGGTACAAAATACCCAGGCAGGTGCTTAGTTTTGGTGGGGCTGATGGTAAGGCCCCATCTCTTAGTGGCACGCTCCAGTCTCAGCAGCAGCGTCTCCAACTCCTCCTCTGAACGAGCAGCTATTACCAAATCATCGGCATACATAACATGGTTGAGCAATGGGGAGCCATCCCTTGACCGCACCCGGGCATCGATCAGCCTCCCATTATAAGTGTACCAAATGGAGATTCCCCCGGTACAGCTATTGAAGGCTTCACGAACTACGTGGTTAAAATAGATGTTAAATAATGTGGGAGCCAGAGGACATCCCTGTCGCACCCCAAGGTGTACAGGCAATGGCTCTGACTACCGGCCACGTAGTTTTACCCGGGCCCGCTCACCATCATGAAGGTCCTGATTGATCGTGAGCAGAGGGTCAGGGACTCCAAAATCACGAAGAACAACCCAGAGCTTAGGCCTACTGATGGTATCATAGGCCTTGACCAGGTCAATAAAGCAGAGATGTAGGTCTTGCTGGAATTCCCTACACCTCTGCTGTAGCAGACAGACAGAAAATATGGCATCTGTGCAGGACCGCCCTTTCCTGAAACCGCATTGGGGCTCCGCAAGCCTCTCCTCAGCGTGCCTGGCAAGGCAATGTTGAATAATCCTTGCCAGGACCTTTCCCAGCACACTGAGGAGTGAGATGCCCCTATAGTTGTTACAGTCTGTGCGGTCCCCCTTCTTAAAAAGGGGGATCACCAGGGCATCCTTCCAATCCTGCAGAACCCGTCCAGTGGTCGAGACTGCTGTTATGATGTCATATAGGGCAGTCTGTGCACAAACGCCACCCTCCTTCAGCATTTCGCTTGGGAGATCATCTCTGCCCGCTGCCTTTCCTGGTCTCAGACTCCGGATCACCTTCAGTACTTCCTCAACAGATGGCACCTCAGCCAGCCACTCACAGTGGGTGACTTCTTCCAATATTTGAGGCACCGCAGCCTCAGCAGGGTCATCCTCACTTTGTGCCACAATGTTTTCCTGGCTGAGGGATTTTCCCTCCCCCAGGACCTCACAGAAATGCTCAGCAAATCTGCGAAGCTGTTCCTGGGGGTCGGAGATTGGATCACCGTTTTTTCCCCTCATGATGGTAATAGGTGTGGCACTGCAGGTTACTTTTTTATGGAGTTAAATAGAGATTTGTGATCGTGGGCCACAGAGACAGACTCCATCTCCTCAGCAACACGCGACCACCACCCATCCTTGCAGCGCCTCACGGCTCTCCGAACCTCCGAGCGAAGGCTGCGGTAAGCCTCCTCATTCTCTGACGTGGGATTCTGTAGCCAATGACAGTGGGCCTGTCGCTTTTTCTCAACTATCCTGAACACGCGCGCACACACGCGCACACACACACACACACATGCACACGCACACACACACGCGCGCGTCCTCATGCGCCGCAGAGGTCGAGGTTGCTCACCCAGCGATTCCACGGGCAGCGGGCAGTAGAACGGCGTCACGTTGTGGTGGGCGCTCGTGCCGTTGATGAGGATCCTGAAGCTCCGGTACTCGGGGACGTCCGCGAGCGGCACGCAGCAGCGCTGCGTCACGAGCGCGGACCCCCCTGCCCCCGGCCCGGCGGCTCCAGCGGCTCCGGCGGTCCGTCCCGTGGCCTCCGCCCCCGCTGCCGAGTCGGCCGCCCCTGCTGCCCCGCGGGTCGTGCTCCACGTCTCGGACGGAATCCCAGCCCGAGTTTTCCGCTGTTTCGTCGCGGCCTTCTTCCCGTGCCCGGCCCCCCTGCCCGAGTGGTGACAAAGCTCTTTGGCGGCGTCGGCCGTGAGCCTCTCGTGAGTGCAGGGGACGCACCGGCGCGTGGCGTTGAGGGTGCTGTGCCTGGCTCGTCACGACACGCACGCACGGGCGAGGCACACGGGGTAGGAGAGGGAGATTTGATCCGAGCAACTATCTCGACTTGTTCTTTGTAAATGTGGAGGGGACCCGGAGAAAAATCCACGTGAGCATGGGGCGAGACACACGCAAACTCCAAATACACAGCAGGCGTTAGGGTCAGGGACGAACCCACGACCTCCTGTCTACCAGGATTCGGCATGAAGCAGCAGTCTGGCCGGTCGGTGATCCGGCACTCGCCGATTCACTTGGGTCACTCGCTCACTCGCTCGCTCGCTCACCGGCGGTGAGTCGCCTCCTTATCACTCTTCTATCACTGCTGCCATGGTCACAGCGACCTGTGAACCTCACTCATCGATTCTTCCACCCATACGACATGCTGGGTGTTTCACTTCTCTTTCCGCCTTTTCCCCCGCACTGCTCCACTTTGTAATGCCCCCCCCCCCCCCATCGCCTCTTTTAGCCAAACGCTTATAAAAAAACTAATCTTGCTCAATGCAAGATATGCATCACGCTCTCAACGCAACTTTGATCGGGTGCCGTTTGTTGGCGGCCTTGTGACGCGTCCTGAGCGCGCAACAGAGACCCTCGCATCCTTGGGTGCGTCTCTGTCGCGGACGGCAATGGCATAAATGAGCAGGACTCTGCTCTGCGGGTTTTGAAGCGCGTACGTCAGGTATAGGTGTGAATGTGTGGTGGGCGTGGTGGCGTTGAGGTGCGGGGGTTGGTTGGAGGCACACCAGTAGTAGAGAGAGTACTCGGTGTCGGCGCTGGCGTTGGGCCCTCGTGTCCACGTGCACTCCATCGTCTCCGCAGCCCCAGTGAGCAGCGCGCAGCGCACGCCGCTCGCCGCACTGCCGGCCAGTCCTGAATACGCGCACGCGCACACAGTCACACAAAGACAAAGATCCACCCGTGTAGCCTTCACAGACTGCTGGGGCAAGTGCTGTTAGCGAGCACCTATGAAGGCACACGAAGGGGGTGGGCGGCCAGCACCACACCCGGCCGCCTTTGTCTCCCCAGTGGCGATGTTTTACACACCGCACCAGGTACTCATTTGAGGCCGAGTCGACCTAGGGGAGGCCCAGAACAAGTTCAGATAATCGTCACTGGTGTTGGCCGTGAGCGGGAATGGAACCCGGGTCACCGGGTTCGTAGTGCAGCGTAGCGCTAACCACTGCACCAAACCTCCTCCTTATGACTCACACAAAGGTGCACTCACGCACACACAGGTGTATGCATAGACGCGGGTAGGGGCACACACACACAGGTGTATGCATAGACGCAGGTAGGGGCACACACACACACACGCGCGACACATGGCAACCTCTGCATGAAAATATGAGTGTTTAATCTCACGATACCTTAGCCCCATAATACTGAGAGATGATCGCCCTGCATCCCAGAACTCATAACCAACTGAAGGTTTCCTTAAGAGTTATATTCGTAGTATAGTCAAACCTTGCCCAACGCGCGTTTTGGTTACACGCGGTTTACCTAACGAGGTCCATTTTCCGGCTCTACACGGTCTCACGCTTCGAAGATCCTCAACTCCGCGTCGAAAAGTAGTGCGCCGTCAACTTGTACTGCATATGCTGCGCAATCCACTGGTACTGTATATGCTGCATACCACAACACACGATCGCCATCTGCTTCCTTCTGAGAAAACCCCACAGCTGTTCCACAGTCGACACACGACCTTCAAACTCTTTCCACCTCACCTCCCTGTGGTCGCCAACCTTTGGGCCTGTCTCAGTCACCCACCCTCCACCACCCTACACACGCGTACCACCCCATCACAACCTCCTCCTCTCGAAGCTTACACAGATGCTGCCACTACTTTCCGTCACATTCCACATTGTCAAGGTTCAACATCCTTACCCTGCCAACGCTATCCCAGGCTCCTTCAACCAGCGGCCGAGGGTCAAAAACGCCGACCTAATCCCAGGGTCCAAATGCGGCCGTGAATGCATGTGGTGCTGGCCACACCATCCCCCCCCCCCCCCGTGTGCCGCCCTGGCATCACTGGGTGCTCACCAACGATGGTGACCTCAACAGTCTGCCAGGCTAAACAGGAGTGTGTCGTGTGTGTGTGTGCGTGCGTGAATGAGTGTGCGTGTCTGTTGGCACAGTAGGGGGCACAGGTGGTGCATCAGCCAGTCATCTCAGTCAGTCGACCCGTGGCACCTGCTGGGTCTGCCCCGTGACCTCCTGCCAGCGGGCGTTCGACACTTCACGTGGCCTCAAGGAGCACATAGCCTGGCACAAGCGTCGTGGTGACGTCACCGCCACTTAGTGGCGAATGGCGATGGTTGTTGTTGTTGTTGTGTCTGTTTAGTGCAGGGAGCGGGGCAGTCGCCAGCGCGCTGCGCTATGAAGCCGGCGACCCGAATTTGATTCCCGATGACGGCCACCAACGCCGGCGACGATTATCTGAACCGGTCCTGGGCCTCTCCTATGTCGACGCAGCCTCAAACGAGTACCTGGTGCGGTGTGTAAACAGGGCCATCGTTGTGGAGACAAAGGAGGCCGGGCCTGGTGCTGGCCACCGACCTCCCCGTGGGCCGTGCCGGCCTTCATTAGGCGCTCGCTAACAGCACGGGGGATCTTTGTCTTTCCCGCATATTTGTCTCTCTCTCTCTCTCGTCTGTTTGATTGCCGCTCACCCCGCGGGGAGGAGATGTCCACCAGCTCGCTCCAGTTGCTGTACCGCTGGCTCGAGTTGGTGCACGCGTCGGCGTGCCACGAGACGACGCTGACGCGCGCCCGCGCGTCGGCGTGACTGAACTGGGAGTTGGTGTAGTTGGTCAGCGGCGTCAGGATGCACTGCAGCTGTGAGCAGCGCGGATGGGGGGGGGGGGAGGACCTCGGTTAGCTCCTGCGAAGTGCCGGAGGCCTGAACCACACACACATCCGGCGATTACACCGTGTGTGTGTGTGTGTGTGTGGCCTTCAGAATTATTATAATATAATAAAACTCTTATATAAGCGCACAACTTCATCTGTGATGAACGCTGCACTTTCCGTCGTTTTCATGCAGGGGGCGCTGCAAACCTACACGCACCCCCTGCATGAACGACGGAGGCGCAGGAACAGACGTTCGGTTACGTTGGAATCGATCTGCAGACGGCGGTCTTCTCGCACGGCCAGCAGCTCTGTGTCGCCTTATCTCGATCCCGCAATCCCAAACAGGTGAAAGTCCGCATCGAACCGAACCCCCAGCAAGGCCATCATCTTACTTAACGACGAGAGAAAATTCACACGAAATGTCGTTTTAAATTAAGTTTTTCAGATGTAAAATGATAAAAGCCTTAAATGAAGAAATACAATTATCTAATACAAAACATTATAAAATTCAAAGATGTTTCATTTCAAAACTTCAAAACGGAGCATCGGGTGCTTGCGTGAATGCGTCGTCCGTGTGCATTTCTGTTGGTGACTTTCCCGGCCAAAGGCCGTAAATGGTTGTGAGGGGCGCCACAGGCGATAGGCCTTCAAAATCATACGTAATAAATATTATAATTGTCGACTTGTGACGCAGCTTCACCGCGCTGGTGTTCGCACACTCTTCAAGAGAAGGAGAGGATGACTCGGAGGTGAGGTGGGCAGCAATGGACGAGCAGCGGAAAGGCAGCAGCCACGTGGGCGAGGCGGCACTACCAGCAACTGCCCGAGCTCTGCAGTCCTCTATGTCGGTGTTACCGCCGTCGTACCTCCTTCCTCCTGCCGGCGGAGTGGTCGAAGATCTGCAGGGCGTACTGGACGAGGCCGCGGTCGCCCTCCGGCTCGGACGCGTTGCCAGGGGGATCCCACCGCAGGTGGAGCTGCATGGGGTACTCTGGGGCCACCACACGCAGCCCGCTTGGGGCCCTCATCCTCTCTGCGAAGGGAGGGCCACGTCGCTACGTTTAGCGGTGGGAACTTGCGTGGCTTTATTTATCGTGGGCGGGGAGGGGGGGGATAGCACATAGCATGGCACAAGCGCCATGGTGACGTCACCGCCGCTTAGTAGCGAATGGCGGTCGTTGTAGTTATGCAAGTAGGTGACCGCGAATGGGTGAGTGAGCGGGTGAGAATGCTCACCTGCATGCGTAGGCCCCGTGGAGGCGCACAGGGTGAGGGTGAGGAGCAGCAGCAGGCCCGGCGGCACAGCCTTCATCCTCCTAGTGGGGGGGGGGGGGGGGGGTAAGGTGCAATGTGGGAAGCAGGACTGAGAACCACCACCTCGGGGGCCAGAGGCGGACAGCGCCGTCAGTGTGGGCCCGTCAAGGGTGGCTAGGCACGTGGCCTCTAACCTATTAACTATAAACTATTTTTTTCATTTTACCAGGTAAGGCCCACTTAGCTAAGGAGCTCTATTTCAGAAGCGACCTGGCCACAAATGATAGCTCAACGATGTGGCTTAGCACGTGGAATTTTATAGCAGGAGCCAAGTACTCGAAGCGCCTGTTTCTAAAATGCATGTTCTCACCGACTACAGGAGGCTGCAGCTGATCGAGATAAATAGACAACACTACGAACAGTCATAATAATATTATATGGTTCTTTCGGTAAAGTCACGTAGAAAGGAAATAAATTAAATAATAGAATACGTCAGCACGTCGGAGTCTCGATCGTTATCAGAATGAACCAGACAAATGGCTCCACCAACTACGAACGGCCATGCACCACCACCCACGGAATCGAGAAACAGCTCTTAATCTGTAAATCCTCTCCGTGTCCGGGCCGGGTGAGTTTTCCCGTGTTTTAGTCACCATATTGCGCACCCCTTTTATCACTCCGCTGCTGGATGAATGCCTCTTCTACACCGTATCGGTCATGGGGACCGTTTCACCATACTCCGCCACGCTGGTTGGTGTGGGTCGGTGAAGCGCTGGCAGGGTGGGGGAGATGGGGCCCAGTTCAGATATCGATCACCGCGGATGTCTCTGTGGTCAGTAATCGAACTGGGGCCACCGGCTAATACGCTAACCGCGGCACCACCACCCCTCCATATGACTCATTCCACAATCTTGCGGAACAGTCGCCCTGAAGGGATTCCCTATCGCACGTGATTGATTGCGTTCGGACGTGATAACACTTTGTGCCCAAGGAACCACCACGTGAAGGGGGGGGGGGGGGGGGTAGTGTCCAGGATGTAATGCACAGTTAGACAGAAAGGAATGGGAAAAAATCAGAATCTGCATTCACAGTGGGGGAATCCGATGAGCTATGAAGCTCTTTTTCAAAGGTAAGGGAAGCGATGCCGGGATGGAGGTCCCCAAGACAGTCGAAGAGGAGGCCATGGCTCACGATCAGCAGCAGGAAAGGGAGGAGGAGGAATGGCGGTGCCGAGGTGTCGGGGATGAGAGGGTGGTGATGACGATGAGAAGGGAGGGAAGAGAGGAAAAAGAGGGAAGGAGCGAGCAGAAGTGAGCCGCACGGAGGAGGAGCAGGAGCGGCGTCTGTTCTCATAGGGGGCAAATGGCGCGGAGGGATTCAGAGTGGGCGTGGCCACACAGTCACGTGGATTACGGAAGGCTTGAGCTGGTTTAGATAGAGAGAGAAGATGATGGAAAAATAAATTACATTATGAGACCTCCTTTGCCAGTAGCAAGATATAGTAATGGGTTTTTACCCTTTTATCTGGCACCAAAACTGTATAAAAGGTGTCAGTTTTGGTGCCAGATAAAAGGGTAAAAACCTATTACAATAAATTACATTTTTGGGTGAGAAACGGAGTGGGGGGGGGGGTGTAAGGGAGAGGGGAAGGATGGGGAGGGGGATGAGAGGGGGAGTGAGAGAGGGGGGATGCGATGGGAGTCTAAGGAAGAGGTGGGGGATGAGAAGGGGAGGAGGAAGTGATGGGATTGTAAGGGAGAGGGGAGAGATGGGGGGATCTCGAGAGAGGAGTGGAGGCAGCCCCGATACTGCTGCTGCTGCTTGCAACTCGGGAGATTGCATTGTGCTGAGTCACAGCTCGTTGGGTCCAATAGGGCAGACTTTAAAAAAAAAACGTCGCCTGTTACTTTGTTTTTAAATTGTAGGCAACAGCGTTCCTGACGAATGCGTTGAGTGTGCATTGTGTGAAATGTGCACCACTGCAAGCACATGAGCAGCAGCATCAGCCAATAATTTGTTTCAGCTATGTATGTGATTTATTCATCTCAACAAAATATTTTGTCGTCCGATGCTGTTCATAATGCCATCTCATCGTCTACTCCGGCCCCACATACACCGACGTCAAACATTTTGCTGCAATTGAACGGAGCTGGCGTACTGTATTTCAAATCCTCCAGACACAAAATATAGATATTTAATATCGTGAGTAGACAAAGCATCAAAGCAAGAACCTTTCTACACAAATAATGAGTTTAAATTGCAGTAGTGCATAACAAGGTCCTCTATACAAGACGTTTGGACAGTGTGGAAGAGAAGGCCAAACACTGTCTACCTAGAGGGGCTGTCTCGACCTCCCTCTAGCGGAGGCTACACGGAACCCAACCCTAAAAACGAATAAAACCCCTAGACCCCGGCCACCCGAGTTCGCTTCCCGCTCGTGCCCAACACAAATATTTATGGTGGCAAATCTCTTCAAATGGGGGAGGGGGCATCTCCATTGACACACCAAGCGCGCATAGCAAACATGCACCGGCAGCACATGTACACGTGTTATAATAAATATAAATACAAAGTTCCCCCGTGTAGCCTTAACAGACTCTTGGGGCAAGTGCTGTTAGCGAGCACCTATGAAGGCCGGCACGGCACACGAGGGGGTGGGTGGCCAGGACCACACCCGACCGCCTTTGTCTCCCCAGTGATGATGTTTACACATCACACCAGGTACTCATTTGAGGCTTTTAAAATCGACAACTTCCACCGAATGCATTCATACCATGAACGTCACCACCCAGCCATCCTACGCCACTGCAAGCAGAGGGAGAACCCCGCAGCAACATCCTCTTCATCCCAGCAGGAGCCATTCAATACTCCTCTTCTACGGTGTGAACGAGACGTCTTGGGAGAGGCGGAAGCACGCCCACACTTCACCCCAACACACAAGTAGCAAACCCGTAATCGCAGGGGTGGAGAACGTCCGGCCCGCGGGCCGTATGAGGCTCGCAAAATCATTTGGGTCTCTGGCCCTGCCAAGGCAACTGCAGGCGGGACTCGAAATTCAACAAATCTAGGTAAGAGCAAACCTGGAAAAGCAGTTGCGAGTAGCAACAACATCGTCAATACCGGCTAACATCATCACACGCCTCTCCAAAGAGAGGCAGTTCCTGCCCATCACATTAGGGGCGAGTTGCTTAAATGTTTGACCAAATGTAAGAGGCTCATTTTTAAGTTGATAATTTTTGTATGGCCTCGCGAATGACGTTATGAATTATCCAAATGGCCCTCGGCAGAAAAAAAGGTTCCCCACCCCTGCCGCAATGGAAAACTGCTGTGGCCCCGCGCTCCTTCGGCGTAAGAGGAGCAGCAAAACGACACGAACTCTCTCTCTCCCTCTCTCTCGTCAGCAGACCTCGGCGTTGGCATGGAGTTCCTGAATGCCTCCGTCGTGCTCGGGAATAGAACCTCACCAGCACGCGCGAGCTGCCCACCCGGAGGGTAGGTAGGTAGACGAACCATGGCGCACCATCTCAGTCCGCCGTCGGGTGGAGGTCGTGCGAGGAGATTTAATAAACTCGCCCCCAGGCGATTCCAATACAGCGCTCGCTGCGACAATGGGCACCCTTCACCATCATGTGCACTGGACACAGAGCCGCCCCTACGCTATGGCGAATCGAGGAGACCGCACCCGGGCCCCCGCACTATGGGGGGGGGGGGGGGTGGTGGTTTGGGGGGGGGCCGCGATTCGAAGTCACGGCGTCAGATGGAGTTACCTGCGGTTTGCTTTGAAGGCGTCGATGGGGCCACGAGGTGGGATTCGCCCCGGGGCCCCCATCCACTGGACGGCTCTGACTGTCCACGTACGGCAAGTGAATCTCTCGACATAAACTCGCGTCACTTCTGCGGTTGTGTCGCGAGAAACTGTGAATCCACGACAAGGTACGTCAACTATATGAAGCCTCGCGCACGTGCAGGTCACCGTGCTATAAACTAAAATCCGAGTCCAAAGCGCCTAACGTCGGTTGCCACTCAAGGTCGTCCCGTGCTCGAGTCCTTGCTTCAAGGGGCCGTCCATAAATGACGTCACGCGATTTTGGACGATTTTTGAACCCCCCCCCCCTCGTCACACGGCGTCACAAAAATTCAGACCCCCCCCCCCGCCGCCCCCTCAAATATGACGTCACAAAGCTCTGCCCCCCCCCCCCAAAAATAAAAAATCGCTTTAAACTATTGTCATTGTAGTTGCGTATTTAACATGGAGCTGCACTCTGATGTTGTAGGAGAAAACATTTATTAAAAAGTCTATTTAATTAAGTAGAACGTGTCGTCTATATTTATTTAAAGTTGCGCATTTTGATGTGACGTCACATTTCTCAAACCCCTCCTCCCCCCTCGTCTCACATCGTCACAAATGTCTGACCCCCACCCCCCCACCACCACCTAGGTGTGTGACGTCATTTATGGACGGCCCCCAAATTGCTTCTTGGGGTTTGGCCGTGGGTGAGGGAGCTGTGGTGGCAGTCGGCATAACTGCAGCAGCAATAGCCCCGGAGGATCCCTCCTCCCTCGGCAGCCCAAGAGGCCACCGCGAATCAGATCCTAACAAACATAAAACATTACTAACATGAAAACAAATAAAGCTCTCTCATCACTGCCCAGCTTCCACCACACACAGCTCGTCAGCGAGCCAACCACCACCACTGCCCGGCTTCCACAACACACAGCTCATCAGCGAAGCCAACCACCACCACTGCCCGGCTTCCACAACACACAGCTCGTCAGCGAGCCAACCACCACCACTGCCCGGCTTCCACAACACACAGCTCGTCAGCGAGCCAACCACCCCCACTGCCCGGCTTCCACAACACACAGCTCATCAGCGAGCCAACCACCACCACTGCCCGGCTTCCACAACACACAGCTCATCAGCGAGCCAACCACCCCCACTGCCGGGCTTCCACAACGCACACATTTCCCTCATCTCACCGCCTATGTCGTCTCACGTGGAGTTTGTTAATTGAAAAAGGGGGGCCTCCGCCCCCCCCCCCGCCACCTCCCAAAGCAGTCATCGCTACTCGCTGTGTAAATGTGTAGCAAGCGTGGCTACGTCAACGGGTACACGCTCGCCATCACTTCGCCTTTCCGCGTTCCATCGTAACGTCATGGCGTTGTAGCATCAATGACAAAGCATAACAGTCGCCGTAAAGAAAAGCCGAGCCAAGGAAATCCTCTCCACCGCTCCAAGTGTCTAATTATGATCATACTGACTGTGCTTGTTTAACCAGGAAGGCCTCTCTGAGTCTAAAGCGTCACTATCAGGAGGGTCCCCGCCTTGTTTTCTCGGGAGAGCGGGGGGCGATGTTACCGTGTGGAGTGCCATTTACATGGTGTGGGGTTTCCTATGGAGGAAACCGGAGAACGCAGAGAGGAAACCCAGGCAAAACAGGGGAGTGAGAGAATGCAAGATCCACTCACAGTGCAGAACAGGAGGAGAACACAGAAACTCCACTCACTCACACTATAGAACAGGGGGAGATCACACAAACTCCACTCACTCTGTAGAACAGAGGGAGAACACACAAACTCCACTCACTCACACTGCAGAACAGAGGGAGATCACACAAACTCCACTCACTCACTCTGTAGAACAGGGGGAGATCACACAAACTCCACTCACTCACTCTGTAGAACAGGGGGAGAACATACAAACTCCACTCACTCTGTAGAACAGGGGGAGATCACACAAACTCCACTCACTCACTGTAGGACAGGGGGAGATCACACAAACTCCACTCACTCTGCAGAACAGGGAGAGAACACACAAACTCCACTCACTCTGCAGAACAGGGGGAGAACATACAAACTCCACTCACTCACTCTGTAGAACATGGGAGATCACACAAACTCCACACACTCACTCTGTAGAACAGGGGGAGAACACACAAACTCCACTCTCACACTCTGTAGAACAGAGGGAGAACACACAAACTCCACTCTCACACTCTGTAGAACAGAGGGAGAACACACAAACTCCACTCTCACACTCTGTAGAACAGAGGGAGAACACACAAACTCCACTCACTCACTCTGCAGAACAGGGGGAGATCAAACAAACTCCACTCACTCACTCTGTAGAACAGGGGGAGATCACACAAACTCCACTCACTCACTCTGTAGAACAGGGGGAGATCACACAAACTCCACTCACTCACACTGTAGAACAGGGGGAGAACACACAAACTCCACTCACTCTGCAGAACAGGGGGAGAACACACAAACTCCACTCACTCTGTAGAACAGGGGGAGAACACACAAACTCCACTCACTCACTCTGTAGAACAGGGGGAGATCACACAAACTCCACTCACTCACTCTGTAGAACAGGGGGAGATCACACAAACTCCACTCACTCACACTGTAGAACAGGGGGAGAACACACAAACTCCACTCACTCTGCAGAACAGGGGGAGATCACACAAACTCCACTCACTCTGCAGAACAGGGGGAGAACACACAAACTCCACTCACTCACTCTGTAGAACAGAGGGAGAACACACAAACTCCACTCTCACACTCTGTAGAACAGAGGGAGAACACACAAACTCCACTCTCACACTCTGTAGAACAGAGGGAGAACACACAAACTCCACTCACTCACTCTGCAGAACAGGGGGAGATCACACAAACTCCACTCACTCACTCTGTAGAACAGGGGGAGATCACACAAACTCCACTCACTCACTCTGTAGAACAGGGGGAGATCACACAAACTCCACTCACTCACACTGTAGAACAGGGGGAGAACACACAAACTCCACTCACTCTGCAGAACAGGGGGAGAACACACAAACTCCACTCACTCTGTAGAACAGGGGGAGAACACACAAACTCCACTCACTCACTCTGTAGAACAGGGGGAGATCACACAAACTCCACTCACTCACTCTGTAGAACAGGGGGAGATCACACAAACTCCACTCACTCACACTGTAGAACAGGGGGAGAACACACAAACTCCACTCACTCTGCAGAACAGGGGGAGATCACACAAACTCCACTCACTCTGCAGAACAGGGGGAGAACACACAAACTCCACTCACTCACTCTGCAGAACAGGGGGAGATCACACAAACTCCACTCACTCACTCTGTAGAACAGGGGGAGATCACACAAACTCCACTCACTCACACTGTAGAACAGGGGGAGAACACACAAACTCCACTCACTCTGCAGAACAGGGGGAGAACACACAAACTCCACTCACTCTGTAGAACAGGGGGAGAACACACAAACTCCACTCACTCACTCTGTAGAACAGGGGGAGATCACACAAACTCCACTCACTCACTCTGTAGAACAGGGGGAGATCACACAAACTCCACTCACTCACACTGTAGAACAGGGGGAGAACACACAAACTCCACTCACTCTGCAGAACAGGGGGAGATCACACAAACTCCACTCACTCTGCAGAACAGGGGGAGAACACACAAACTCCACTCACTCACTCTGTAGAACAGGAGATCACACAAACTTCACTCACTCTGCAGAACAGGGGGAGAACACACAAACTCCACTCACTCTGCAGAACAGGGGGAGAACACACAAACTCCACTCACTCACTCTGTAGAACAGGAGGAGATCACACAAACTCCACTCACTCTGTAGAACAGAGGGAGATCACACAAACTCCACTCACTCACTCTGTAGGACAGGGGGAGATCACACAAACTCCACTCACTCTGCAAAACAGGGGGAGATCACACAAACTCCACTCACTCTGTAGGACAGGGGGAGAACACTCAAACTCCACTCACTCACACTGCAGAACAGGGGGAGAACACACAAACTCCACTCACTCTGTAGAACAGGGGGAGATCACACAAACTCCACTCACTCACCCTGTAGAACAGGGGGAGTTCACACAAACTCCACTCACTCACTCTGTAGAACAGGGGGAGATCACACAAACTCCACTCACTCTGCAAAACAGGGGGAGAACACACAAACTCCACTCACTCACTCTGTAGAACAGGGGGAGATCACACAAACTCCACTCACTCACTCTGTAGAACAGGAGGAGATCACACAAACTCCACTCACTCTGTAGAACAGAGGGAGATCACACAAACTCCACTCACTCACTCTGTAGGACAGGGGGAGATCACACAAACTCCACTCACTCTGCAGAACAGGGGGAGATCACACAAACTCCACTCACTCACACTGCAGAACAGGGGGAGAACACACAAACTCCACTCACTCTGTAGAACAGGGGGAGAACACACAAACTCCACTCACTCACTCTGCAGAACAGGGGAAGATCACACAAACTCCACTCACTCACTCTGTAGAACAGGGGGAGATCACACAAACTCCACTCACTCACTCACTCTGTAGAACAGGGGGAGATCACACAAACTCCACTCACTCACACTGTAGAACAGGGGGAGAACACACAAACTCCACTCACTCTGCAGAACAGGGGGAGAACACACAAACTCCACTCACTCTGTAGAACAGGGGGAGATCACACACACTCCACTCACTCTGCAGAACAGGGGGAGAACACACAAACTCCACTCACTCTGTAGAACAGGGGGAGTTCACACAAACTCCACTCACTCACTCTGTAGAACAGGAGGAGATCACACAAACTCCACTCACTCTGCAGAACAGGGGGAGAACACACAAACTCCACTCACTCTGTAGAACAGGAGGAGATCACACAAACTCCACTCACTCTGTAGAACAGAGGGAGATCACACAAACTCCACACACTCACTCTGTAGAACAGGGGGAGATCACACAAACCCCACTCACTCACACTGCAGAACAGGGGGAGAACATACGAACTCCACTCACTCACTCTGTAGAACAGGGGGAGATCACACAAACTCCACTCACTCACTCTGTAGAACAGGGGGAGATCACACAAACTCCACTCACTCACTCTGCATAACAGAGGGAGAACACGCAAACGCCACTCACTTACTCTGCAGAACAGGGGGAGAACACACAAACTCCACTCACTCACTCTGTAGAACAGGGGGAGATCACACAAACTCCACTCACTCACTCTGTAGAACAGGGGGAGATCACACAAACCCCACTCACTCACTCTGCATAACAGAGGGAGAACACACAAACTCCACTCACTTACTCTGCAGAACAGGGGGAGAACACATACAAATGTTTGTAGACCCCTTCATTTCATGTCCTCGCCTTCCATACTCCAGGTAACTTATGTCACGTATGTGTATAAAGATATTTAGGCTCGCTGGTCTCGTCATGAATCTGCAATGAAAAAGCACCAAGGGAGGCAGCTATCACATCTGCCTCACTGAGGGGGACGTGTCTAACACGCCCACCTCAGTGAGGACACGCCCCCTCAGTGAGGCCACGCCCCCTCAGTGAGGACACGCCCCCCTCAGTGTGTGAATCTGGCTCTGACACTAGCCACTGCCTCCCCAGCCATTGACCTCACCCCGCACGTCACTGTTGTGTAGTTGTGTAGTGGTGTTGTGTAGTCATGGTGTTGTGTAGTCATGGTGTTGTGTAGTGGTGTTGTGTAGTCATGGTGTTGTCTAGTGGTGGTGTTGTGTAGTGATGGTGTTGTGTAGTGGTGTTGTGTAGTGGTGGTGTTATGGAGTAGTGGTGTTGTGTAGTGGTGGTGTTGTGTATTGGTGTAGTGGTGGTGTTGT